ATAGCAACTCAACACTGAACATCTGCTGCATTAGCCGTTAATTAAAGTTCAAAACATTTTTTTTCCTTTTTACATATTGCTGCTCCTTATAAAAAAAATACCAGCATTTCCTAAGTTATGCCTGGTGTAACTGGCAAGAATACAAAATAGTTTATTTGATGGTATGGAGGATGCAGAAAACGAGTTTCAGCCACAAATATTCAAAACACAAATTTCAGTCAATAATAACGAACAGCTCACAGAATAATCTTACCTTTAGTTCTGAGATATAAAGCATTATTTTTAATACATACACACATACATGCCCGAGGATGTCCATCTACTTAGGGGAGCTAGTTAATCTCTGTTGCAGACCTCTGCTCAGGCATATTTGTGTTTGTTCAACACTCACAGAGCCCACCAGTGGTTTATGCTGACAGAGAGAGAGAGAGAGTTGTCTAGGATAATCAACAGTCTGAACAAAGTCAGCATACTCAAACCCTCGGCTACAATGACTTGTGATTTTGTGTTATCACAAACATCCACATCTACTAAATTTCATTCACAAGGTTTGGATCAACCCATGGTACAGTTTTCAGGCACTTTCCAAAGGGGCTGCACACTGGGATCATCTCACCCAGACTGATAATATCAAGAAGTCACCTTCCTGACAAATCTAACCCAGGTTTCATGGTTAGAAAGCAAACCTAACCACTCAGCCATGTGCCTATACATACTGTATGTATATACACACACACACACACACACACACAGGTCTAGTAGATTAAAGTGTTGGCTCATGAATTTAGTGACATAGTAATTACAAGTTCAATCCCTTGGCCAGGCAGTGTGTATTTGAAATCAGTGAAAACAAAGCAACCAATAACTGAGCATTACGAATTGACAAGATTATCCTGTGTGAAACTGATCCAAGCAATTGCTTTCTAACTGTCCAAGTCACTGCCAACAGAAAAAAAGCACAGCATTTTAAAAATGAACACTGTCCTCCTCACTTGCAAATTCTCATAGCTCCAAAACATTGTCTTTCTTAAATTAAGGTGTCATTCTCTTCTACAAGCCCAAGACATAAACAGCAGAAAGCAGAATGAGAACAGTCTACTCCTGTAGATTAAAGGTTTGGTTTGGTTTGTTTTGCGGCATATCAACCTCAATGTGTTATTTAATGCTGACAATTTTTATTGCTGGTAATATTTTTTTTTCAAAAATGTATAGCTGGTAATTTTTTTTTTTTTTTTAAAAATGTATTTCTGGTAATAATTTTTCTTCTAAAATTTATTACTGGTAATAATTTTTTTACAAAGTATTTCTTTTTCAAACCTATTTTTACACTTTCATAATGTTTTGACCCCAATTTGGAGGTTAACTATTTACCCATAGCTGGGACCCTAACAGGTGTTATCACCCTGGATCAGGGTGGCCCTGGGAACACCAGCAATTAAGAGGTGGTTCCAATCTCCTCAAAACCTCCTGATCAGAGGCCTTGCTGTTGGACATAGTTTATCATCTTACCCAGAATGCGGTTGTAGTTTATTGTTATAACCAGGACAGAGATTAAATAAAGGGCTTAGTTTAAAATTCCTTGAAACTTACTTGGACTGATAACAGCCGTAACATGATAGCAACAGCAAAGATGAGGACATGACTTCTAGTTACTGAACCTGAATATATCTTCATTCATATACAAACAAAAATTTAACCAAAATATTACAAAAACATTAATGTTGTTTTTAATCAAATTTGTAATATTGAATGATTATTGCTTAAATGTCTGTGCATAAGCGCAAGAGGAGAGATAGTAAGAAATAGAGAGATATAGACAAGCAAATAAAGAGAGAGAGATATCAAAAGGATAGAAAAATAATTTTCTAAGATTAATCGAGCTAATAAAATTATAGACTTGTTTCCAAATAACCAGTACATTTTCTCATTTTTATTTTCTACCTATTTTTCCTTCTAGTAAACACTTTTTTTTTTTAAACTGACATGTTTTCCTATTTTACATTTGTTGGGGAGGGGGGTAGTTATATCATTAATACAAGATTATTATTTTAATTTCATCACCACCAACTCAACATCAACGAACTCGTCACCATGACAACTCAACTCCAGGACAACTAACCACCACCAGCCTACTCAACAGGAGGACAACTCAACATTGGCATCAAATCCATAGCTTCAGACCAGTGTTGGCTGTCATAGTGTGCACATCTCTTAGATTGGCTTTGAGTCATAGAGATTTTGAAAGTTTGGCTGTTGTCTTAGTGATTTATTAGTTACAAAGCCTATTTGGCTGACTAGTGTTTAATTTATTTGATCGGACAAATAACCATTGCTGAAGCAGCCAATAGAAGACTGCACACAGAGTTGGGGATGTAGCACCCCACAATATGGAGATTCATTACAGAGCAGCAAAAGGGGCAAAGAAACCAAGATGCATTTTTCAGGCAATTAATTGGAGGTCATTCCCCTCCCCAGAAATTGAAAAAGTCTATGAAGGCAGATGAAGAATTTTACAGATTGTCTTCTTTTTCACAACAATCTTCAACTGAATATTTGAGGGGAATTGCATACAATTTTCAAATTAAAAATAAAGTCATGTATTAAAAAATAATGTTTTTAAAAAATGTTTTTAAAAAGTCAACAAAAAAATTTCATCATTTGCATCTTGTTGAGTTGTTCTGGAGTTAAGTTGTCATGAAGATGAGCCGGTGGCATTGAGTTGTTGGTGATGGTGCACCCTAAATTAAACAGTTTTGTTACATATTTGCCTGCTTCTCCTATTTGTATCAATCCAATCAAAACTATCTAAAATGACAAAGAAAACTATTTTGCTTACCTAAATGTATTTCTTTCCAATTTATGACAGAAAAAGGATAAATTATATAGCTATTTACATGATAATATAACTTACATAAATTATATAGCTATTTACATGGATTATGTAAATGACTGTAAAGAAAAAATATTTGGAGGAATTATCTTTCTTCTATGTGAAATTATAGTGAGTCTCAACAATTTGATATTTACAAAAATAGCTTCACATTTTGGTTATGATTGATAGGTTCTCTGGTAAAAGGATTCTTACTTATTCCTTATAAACCTGATCAAAGTCTTAACATCTTTCTCTCTTGTACATTATATTCTGTATGTCAATTCCAAGGAAATATATATATATATATATATATATATATATATAGGATTAATGGGAGTAAAAGTTTGTCACTTAACTGATTGATGTTACCCTCAACATTCAGACTCCAGAGTTTCTTAAGCAGACCTGTCTGTCCACTACACAGACGCACAAAGGAATTTTATAAGTATGCATGTGAATCTGAATATCAGTCAGTTATGTGACATGCGCAATACACTTTTAAGCGATCATGTATCTTTCAATACATGACTGACGAAGCAGATTTTTTCCTGCAGTAGGTTACCATTTCTTCCTGCAGTAGACCAGTTGCCATCCAAGGCTATAGAACCAGGTCTGTCCTGCTATTTACCCATATCTGGGGGTAGGAGAAGAGGTTTCATACCTTTCCCAAGGTTATTAACACATAAGTGAATGTAATGGATTCAACTGGAAGTTGAACTCGGCTCTCTGATTCCTTAACCTGAGCCACTATCCATTATTCCACCATGCCTCCTGAATCTGAATATAACATTATTATTTGAAGATACCATTATTAATATTCCTCTGTTCTAATAATCGATAACAGATTCTTTAATTACTTGGCCATTTCCTAAAATTTAAATGTGTAGAAAACAGAATGAAAGATAGTAGTAAATAGTAATAATAATAATAATCCTTATTGCGTCTTATCTGACTTAGCCATAAACCATCTGTTCAATGTATGAATTTACAAGATTCACCTAAAGTATAGTTGGAAGTAGAAGCCAAAGCCTCAACCTTTGAGGTTAACTAAACTATTGTTCAAAATCCTTTGAAGGAACAACATCTCTACAGTTAGCTTGGTCATTTGGCTAGAAAATTAAAAAAGTTGTGAATGTGAAAAAATAAAATATATATATATATATATATATATATATATATATATATATATATATATATATATAGAGAGAGATAATATTAGTGGAAAATATACATACATATGCAAAATATATAAATACCCATATATATATATTTTAGAAAAAAATTTCAAGAGGAAGAATCCAGGTAGAACTCAATGTCTAGGACAGAGTAAGGATATAATAAAAGGCTTTAAAACTAATATTCCACGGTCATAATTTATTCCATTGGAATCATTAAATACGATCCAATTCATCAGACCTACAAATTCAAATTTATATATTCAAATATATATATATATATATATATATATATATATATATATATATATATAAGATATAGCTAAAAAAGAGTTTCATCCTCTGATGAATTTTATGAAGGCAAATGTAAGGATATTATTTTACAACCATCTTTTATAAACAGAATTAAAAATCTTGCTAGTTTTTCAAAATTTTTTAATCTAAGAACGCTCATAAACATACTTCAGACTAATTGAAATGCAAGGTAAACAATAAAGAATGCTAAGTGATGTAATTTAATGTCTAATAAATGAAAGTGAGTGGAAGTTATGTTGATTTTTTTTTTAATTATTTATTTTATTTTAATTTGAGAAATTAATTTATGCATTTATATATTTTAAATAATAGAAGATTTTGAATTTAACAGTTTTCACTTAATTTTTAAAAAATTTTAATAGTCATGTATGTTGGCTTGGGAAAGGAGTATTTCTTTTAGGAAAGGAGATATTTGCAAAAAAACAGGACACAGAATTATATTTTGGTAAGATCCGATAGTGGCACTCTCAAGAATTTTCTTTCAAAGTAAGTTACTTTCTCTTTTAACTTCAATCTAAAAAATGCTGCACAGAGAAAGTAACATTATACATTCACCTAAAATCAGTGATAGAAACTTATCCCAGTGATACTAAAAATCAAAAGGATTTTGATTCTGGATAATGACTGAAATTGACTTATGACCACATCACATTGAAGCACCAGTTCCCATACAATCACCAAAGTTAAACAATGTTGAGCTTGGTCAGTACCAAGATGGATGACCACTTGGAAGTACCAGGTAGTGTAAATTTTGATGTGTGGGTGGTGTAATGGATAATGGGTTGAAATTGTTAATCAGAGAGCTGAGTTCCAATTCCCGTTGGGTTTGTTACACTCACCTACATGCAAATAATCTTGGGAAAGATATGAATCTATCTCTTCTCCCTCTTCTATGGGTTAATTAATAAGACTTGTATCATTAAAACCATTATTATCTCAAAAATAAAAATAAATAAATAAATAAAAAATTCTTACATTCTAAAAATATTTTCTGGCTTTAAATAAACTTCAAAGGGTTGATAAGCCATAAAAAACAAATCAATCAATCAACAAAGACAGAAATCAGTTGAGTGTTAACTGTGCCTTCCAGCCTTTTTCAAGTACTGCTTGTTGAACCCAGTAACTTTAATGGAAATTTGAACCAGACTCTTTATTCAAGGCCTGGGGGTAGATTGAATAAAGGGTTTGATGAGACCTGTAAATTGTGTGAATGTTTGTTTCAAAATCATGTGGATCATATCTTTTACCAGAAACTACCTTTTTGTTTTGTTTAATACTTATCAGTGTCCACAACAAAAATACATATTTTCATTTATTTAATTTTCAACACATCCTATTATCCTCAGGTATGGGTCAAAATGTTATCCTAAATACTTTCAAAAATAGTTAATTTAATTTTCTTCTAAAGTTTCTGAAAATCAAACATTTTTCAATAGGTCTCCAGTTCTAGTTCTCAATTGCACTATGAGCAGGCCTGGAGTATAATACACCATGGTGTTGACTCAAAACTTTACATTAAATGTGAAGTTTCTTTATACTTTTAATTCTACAATATGGAAATTAAACCATTAACTTGAAAAAATAAATTTTTAAATCTAATAGATATAACTTTCAATAAAATTTGTATAAATATACATAAATATATATACATACATTGTTTGACATATTGAACCAGGATTTGTTCAGAGGCTCTCAGAGATATCTGACACTATTTTCTTTTAATTTTAATTTACAGGGTGCGATGGATAAATTGTCATCTAAATTATGCAAAAATGAAAATAACACTGACATTTCATTTTAACAGATATATTTACCAAAATTACACAAAAATATCTTGAAATACTAAAGAGTAAATTTATTCAATAAAATCACCATTGGCTTCAACCACAGCCTCCAGACAACTTCAGAATCTCCTGCAACTCTTCTGGATGGTCTCCTTGTTTAAGTTGGTAAATACTGCCATAATCCTTGCCTTCAGTTCATTGGTTTTACAAGGAGTTTTGTTGGTCTCTCACTCAACTAAGCCCCATACATAATAATCAAGGGGTTACAGTCTGAAGAGTTAGGTGGCCAGATGTAATGGGTGACATGGTTGCAGAAATTGTCTCACAGCCATGACTGGGTTCTCCTGTTTGTGTGGCATGGTGCAGAGTCCTGTTGTCAGACATAGGGTCTTCCAGAAGCCATCCTCTTGACCCAGAGCAGCACTATCTCCTCAAGGCACTTGATGTAAGCCTCCATGTTGAGTCTGAGGCCCTGTGAGAAGACAAATAGAGGCGTAATGTTGCCATCCCTAGTGATCATGCCAAACACCTTCATAATCACCATTAGACTCATCCAATTCTTTCTGAATCCTCTGCACTGCCCTCAGATTGACAACCAAACACTCTGAAATGTTTATATTGAAGCTTCCAGTGCAAATGCCAAATAGTACAGCATACCATTTACAAATTTCTGGCAGAGTGAATTGCATCATGGTACTCTTTTTCTCAAAGACGGTGCCCAACTGACCCTACTATAATGTGCAGTCAACAAAAACAAAAGCAAACAACATGTATGCAGGAAATTAAAAATACAAAATGGTGACAATTTACCTATCGCACTCTTTATATGAATAAAATTAATTTTTGTTTTTTGGTAATTGCATTATTTTAATGTATAAATTGTCCAAATCATGATTTGTTCTTCTTAGAACTTTTTTGGTTTTAAAAAGATTGAAATAATTTTCTCCAAAAATATATTTTCAAAAATTCAAATAAAGGATAGAAAAATATTAGAAATGAGTAAAAACAAAAATGGCCAACTGTAGGCTACTTATCCGTCATGCCAGACATTAGGCATTTTCAAAATAAATTATTTGGGACGATATTCTAAGATGATAGATACTTAACCTGAAATGCTGAACCAGGATTTGTTTAGAAATTTTTCTCCTCATACTCATTCATTAAATTCCAAACAAAATGCACCAATGGAATTCTATTCAAATTTTATACTGGTAAATAATATTTTGGAAATTAAACTAAGTTAAAATAAATTTAGACATTATATTTTTTTTTTTTTTTTTTTTTTAAATTTACTTTGTCAACATAATTTACTGTAGCTAATCCTACACTCAACCACACCACCCTTAAACTTTCCTAAGTAATGGTGAGAGACAATGGAAAGAGAAGGGATTATCTCATAATGTTAATCAGTAAAATCCTAAACTGTAAACCAATAATCATTCATTATTGTTCAAAAGACTGGGAGGACTGAATTTCAATATAATCCATTTTTTTTTTTTTTTTTTTTTTTTTTTTTTTCATTGCTTAAAATAGGTCCAAATGATCCATTTTTTAAAATTTTCTTTTGAACAGGAAATTTATTGTTAAAACCTTTCATTTCTTATTTAAGATGGGGTTTCCGGTTTCCTTTCTCTGAATGTCTTTAAATTAAATTAATGTTAAAAATTTTATATTTTTTGACTGGATGGTGGCTACAAAAAATTTTTATGTTGAGGCTACCATTTTTTTTTTTTCTGATTGCTGATTGAAATACTGGTAGTTTGGTTTGTTTTACAGGGATATAAAATTCAATTTTTGTTTTTAATGCTGACAAAATTTTATTGCTGGTAATATTTTTTTTTTCAAAATATATTACTGGTAATATTTTTTTTTTAAAAATGTATTGCTGGTAATTTTTTTTTCAAAATTTTATTTGTTTCAATATTTTTTTTCATTCAAAAATGTTCCTAAAGGTTTTTTTTTTTTCAAAAATTTATTGCTGGCAATATTTTTTCCTTCAAAAATGTATATAGGTATTTTTTTTTAAAAATTTATTGCTATAATTTTTTTTTTTTCAAATTTATTGCTGGCAATATTTTTTTTTTAAAAAATTATAGCTTTAACGTTTTTTTTTTTTTTTCAAAAAATTTTTTTTGGTTTTTTTTTTTTTTTAAAAGTATTTCTGGTATTTCATAAAAGTTTTGACACCATTTTGGGGGTTAACTATTTGCCCATTTGTCTTAATGTATTAAGGTTAAAAAACCTTTAACACAAGTTTACCTGGGTACACCAGCAATTTCTTGGTGGTTTTTTTGCTTTTTTTTTCTAAAAAAATTCTTATCAAAGGCCTTTTTTTCTGTTAGAAAAGAAAAGTTAAAGAGCCCAAACTCTTTGGGTAGAATCTAAAGGGCCTTATCTGATCAGCAAAAATCATATAATATTAGGATTCTTGAACATGCCATACCAAAATTTAAAAATGTCCCCAATAAAACACTGAACTAATGGAAGGCTGTAGTCTGCACCAATTCCCAGTCAACACATATTACCTTAGACAACCAGCAGCTACTATTATTCTTGGCCTTTTCCACCTTTAAAAACATATCATGACTAAAAGCAATAAAGCAATAAACTAAATACAATTAAACCAGTTTGCCAAAAAAACACCTAAACCCCTCAACCTTTCTTACTCCAACATACTTACCTGGTACATGCCAGGAAAGATTAAAAAAATATTAAGCCCAAGTGCCTGAAAGAGAAAGGGATGAAGTTTGAATGATATTATTTTGAAGCAAAAATAAATATTTTTTTCATATAAAAAAAAAAAAAAGCAAAAAAAAAAAACGGTGATTTTTCTCAGAAAATTGGGCATAATTTCTTAATGCTGAGTGACATTTTCCACAGCCAAATCAAAGATTAATTACCAGTGAATAATTCCATGTGCAAACAATAGCTGTCTGGATCCTATAACGTTTCCTGAAAAGGTCCAGAAGTTTACTGATTGACTGAAAACTTGTTGCGCATAATTGTTTTTTGATGGTGGTTTCCTGTATTTCATCTTGATATTGTCATTTTTGGACAGCCAAGTCATCAAAGATTCAGGAAAACAGTTTAGCATAGGTTTGCTTTAAGAACTTTACATTCTACGGGGTTTGTAAAATGTTACTGACAAATGAGATTTTTTCGCTGAATATTTACACGTAAAAAAATTACAACTAAAATTTTTGTAAAAAAAAAATGTATATTTCTTCAGTGTACACGTACTGTATATTACTGGCAGTAGATACCAAATGTAAATACAGAATGTGATAATTTAATTTTTTAAAAATTTTAATTGGTTGATATTTTTAAATAGTTTACTGCACAATTTACACATTAATAGAGTTTAAAGGCACAATAGAGCACAATTGCATGCAGTCCACAATATTAAGAGTAATTGTTTACGTTCACAAGATAATTGTTTGAATCTGCCAATAATTGCTTCTGCATCCAATTAATCTAATAATTCCTTTTCAATGGAATACTAAATGTATGATTCCAAATTCTCCTCAGGTAGCAAATTTCTTAACCATGTCTTTATGATCTTTAGCGTTGAAAATGTCCTCTCATATTGGACATGAGTAACTGATAGTGTGCAAATGACTTTATAAAGTTCTTATTCCTTTTTATTACTAAATCAGTTGTCAGAGTTTGTTTCTTTATTGCATTTTTATTTGATATAGGGAGCCCACTTGCCATTAAGCAAGCTGGCAAACTGGCCAGTTCACCACTGAGCCTAAATTCATTATACTTCCACCACCATATTTAACTATCAGGACAATATTTATATAAAGTGTTCTTCAGACATGTTTCAAAATGTTTCTACAATTTTAGTCCTATTAAATCATATTTTGTCCCAGAATAAAACAGGTTTCTTCAAAATACAATAAATTGTAGATGAGGCTTCACATGTTTGTTAATTGGATGATAAGTATGATAAATGTTGG